AGACCACTATACAAACCAAATTCAAGAATACAACGAAACAGTTATCTACAATGATCTCTGGGTTTCATCCCAGGATTGCAGGGATGGATCAATAACACACGGACACTCCACTGAGAAAATATACTTTAGATGCTTTCACCACACAGACAAAAAAGCTACCTATAGGAAGTAAAAGTCTCCCTAATTTGCTCATCTACAGGAATCAGTTATTTTGAATATTTATATTAACATAGTAAATAGTTTGACTTAAATATATATATATATATATATATATAATAAAAAAGCTTCCAGCAGAGATTAAAAATGAAAGGAGTTCTTTTTCACATTTAAGTTGTGCCCCAGTCACATAGATCATCTTGAGTGCATTATCAAGAATAAGAAAGTATCCTTTAATGTGATTCATGTTAATAAATATGTGCTACAGGATACCTTAAAATACATTTAGGAAATTCTGACCCACATTAGAGAACATTTTAGGTACATCGAATTCAATCTATATTATATCACCTTTAAGGAGATCAAAGTGTTTTAAATTGCCATAACAAGAGTTCAAGATTTGAGTAGCACATATTTTTTTCCTTATTGAGACATCCATCCTCAATAAATCAGAATGTTTCTCCTTTAAGTAGCACACTCTCTTTTAAAGGCATAATGCAATGACATAATCTAATCCTTATATCCTTAGACCAAGATTTGCTGTTTTGTTTTTTTTAAAGTAGGGTCTATTGAAATACATTCATACAAAAACATACACTTGCTTTGCAGAACTAAATGAGTATCTCTCAATGACAAACTATTCAGTTGTCCTAACTGAATTCCAAAAACAGGAAAAGGGAACCAGAGTCTACATAATCTTGAGAAGATAAAAAACACAATAAAACCCCAAACCTAAAACCCCAACATCTTTAGATATGTTACATATTACAGAATGGATCACTAAATCAGTAATAAAGGAAAATAACCCCGTACCCACCAATCAACGCTGTAGGAAAATGGCCTGGCTTCTCATTCTAGATATGCAGATTACTAGCTTCATGCCCTTGGAAATGGATTTAACCTCTCTGAACTTCCCTTTCTCCATCAAAGAATAACAGTCATGACGGGAAGAAAGGCTTTAAACACCAAAACCTAACAATATCTAGTGTTTAGGAGAAAGCAAAGGAATAGAAGGGTGGGAGGTAGCTCGGCAGTGGAGCAGTAGAGCACAGGCCCAGCATGTTCTCAGCACAGTTAGAAAAAACTAAACAGTAAAAGAGTAAAGTTCGCTTCTCTCTCTAAACAGAATGTACCAGTCAGACACCAGCATGAAAAGATCTATATCTTACTCAAAATCATAATTACTTATCCATAAATACCTTTTGCACCCTAAGTACAGTACAGTTTAGCATTAAGAGAAATTAGAGTTTGCTGTGAAAGTCATTTTATCTTAGTTGTGGATAAAGAATGAAACACAATTTTAATATCTACATTAACAAAACAGAATTCTGTTGAGTAACAAACTGATAAGGAAATTAAATGTAGATTTTAAGTATTTTGGTGTCTTAGAATATTCAAAGCATTGATGATATTCAAAATTACCAGCACTTGTTAGAAATGACATTGTATTTTCCGCAATTTACTTTTTTAATTCCACAGACTATAATTAGCCTGGAAGTAGTTTAAACTATTACCCAACAGAGTCATTCATTTATCTTGGGGATTATTTTATTCCATTTGCTGGTAAAGAAATAAATGTAAGTGACAGAATGAAACAAAAAAGTCAACAGTGCAGAAGGCTTTTTAATAAATTACATTTTGGCAAATGATCACAGGCAAATTAACAAAAGCTGACTCATGCTGATCTCATTTATTTGTTCTATACATATCTGATTAATCGGCATTAATTCTGTTGATGGAAACAGGAGAACTCCATTGTTATATACAGATTAGAAACGTAAACACTTAGCATTTCCCACAACTACTTTGAATGTTATGTTAAATAACATTGTGAATGCCAGAACTGGTTAGGCAGGCAAAGTACTCTACTGCCCCCTAATGAAACAGACCAAACAAAACCATAACGAAACAAGAAAACTTAAAGTGTCTGTGAACTAGAAAATCACCTTACTTTGCAGAATGCACTTGACAGGTACAAAGGGCATTAGCTGAAATTAACTAGCCTATAGATCGGTCCAAAAGCTACAATCATCCACTTTTCGTGATAAAATTAGTAGCAAAACAGGAAAGCCTTGAGACAGAAATATTCTTAGGGCAAAGATAACATGGCCAAACAATGTTATCTAGAATGAAAGCAAATGAAAACTCTGTTGCAAGCAACGGGTTCCTGAGCTGTAAGCTGACACCAGGAAAACCTGCTCCTTAGAAACTAGACTCTTGGGTAAACGGCACTGGATGAACACTGTCCAGCTAGTCTCTCATCCTCTCAGCATCTCAATACGTGTATATTTTCAGGGTAACTATGCTATTAAATACATATTTAAAAGAATTTCCACTTACAGCTTACTATTTTACATGAATGATTTTACAAGACGATAATTTTGTGCTGTGCGGCTCTTTCCATTATAACCTAGGTAGTCCCAACTCCTAATATTCAATAGCAGCTCCTCCTTCGCTACGGTTTTCACAACCTGTTCCCTGTCCTTGTTCTTTCACTTTGGCCTATCAAAAATTCCTAAATTCTCATCTCAGAACATAGGAAACTGAGAGAGAGAGAGAGAGAGAGAGAGAGAGAGAGAGAGAGAGAGAGAGAGAGAGAGAGAGAGAGAAAGGAAGAACAATACAGTCTGTGGTCTTTAATAACAGAAACATCCAACAGTTGCCACATGAAGCAGAAATAAAAGGATAAAATCATGATAACAGGAAAATGTAAACAAAAAAATTCAACTCAAGGCAGAACCCAGCAGTTAGCTGAGAAGGCGATGCAGCTGTCAACTGTTCCTTGAGGCCAGAATCGCTTGGACCCAGCATGCTCCTGCCCAGGTTGACAGTGGTTTTACATTTCATTGTGTGTCTACTGTCTAGGAAACATTAGCTGGGTCAAGTCCACGTGGTGCCATAGGAGCGGGCAAGATAAGAAATGACTCAATCTGCACACAGGATAAAGAGCTCTCAGCCCTCACAGTGGGTGCTGCTCTCCTTGCTCTTCTCCTGTGAAAGACAGTGGAGCTAGCTTTGCACACTACAAGGCTAACCAATGCTCATATGTAATAAAGTGCAATCAAAATTTCTAAAGAGAAACACGTGGAAAATGTAAACATACTTGAACCCATATCACAAATTATCTAGTTTCACATCTGTATTGGCTTTCTAGGCAATATGAATTTTAAAAATGACTGTCTTGCTGAAGTGTTATTGCTTCATTCGCACCCCCTCACAATGAAATGGACACAGACATAAAGGCATGGTTTTATAGCCATATGTAATGGAGCTGGGAGGCCTTGGGCACCCCAAAGAGAAGCACTATGAAATCCTTGGTGCCGAAAGTATCTAATATTTGCTGAAAATAATATCTCTTAGCTCATATAGTGCTGTAGCTCTGTAGCTACCTGGAGTTAATATACAGTAGTCACTAAGAGATCAAACAGAGACAGCACAGGGCTACTTAAACATGCCATGGTGAGCCCCAGTCTACTCCAATGCCTTCCAAACCATTCCGCCAAACCTAAAGGAACACCTTCCTTGGTTTACAGAAGGGAAAGGGACTTCCCAGGCTGTTCTTTTGCTCTTGAATTCCCAGTAAGTATAAATATTAAAAGTATATCGAGAAAAAAAGAGAGAAAGATGACAGAAAGAAAAAAAGTAAATGACAGTAACTACATTAGCAAATCAATTTAGCAAGAACTTTGGCCTGAAGCAAATGGATTGACTGATTGATTGATTAATTTTAGCTCCATACATTGTACTGATGATGGTGGTGATGATAAAAGCCAGTACTGATAATTTACCACATTGGAGTAAGTACTTTATACACAGTAGACATGCAATCCTCACAGATACAAACCCTATTGCATCAAACACTATAAGATACACATACATGCTACAGGAAAGAAAGTCTTACAAAGATTAGGTACCATGACACAATTATGCCATTACTAAGGTTAAGTTTGTATCATTTTCCAGTGAAATGCGTGAAAGGAAATTATTTTGGAACATTGTATGAAACTAATACATTATATATGACTTAAATCATATTAATATTTTCTGGTTATATATCCTGGGCTCACTACTGGTCCAGTTCTTCAAAAAGACACAAATGCCTATGATATAATACCTAATTGTGAACAGGCTATCAAAGTGCGTTCTATCCCATTATAAAGATAGCTACAGGAAGAACACATCAGTCACTATAACCTCTGCATCCTCAGATGCCCACAGCACCCTGTGCCCAGCTCCATTCAAACATCTCAAAATAACACAAAGTCTCATATATATATATATATTGTGTGTGGGGGGGTTTACTCTCCTTTTCTTTCTTAAAAGGGTAATTACAATATAAAACATAATAGGTAGTTCTCATTATATCTGAAACATATTTCTCTTCATGCCACAGTGGGGAACCTTTCATGACACTTCTTTCACCTTTGATAATGATGTTCAGTTTGTTGTAAAGTTGATACTAAAGGAGGAGGTGCCCTCTGATGTAAGCTAATGCAAAAATCTATCTTGGGAGAGTTAGGACCGAAACACAAAAACATACTATTCCCAAAATGTAATTCAGATTATCCAACCATCCCAGGCACTGGCTAGGCAACAGCAAATGTCCTTCTCTCTTTATGCACACAGCTTACAGTTTAAAACATACATACACACACGGGGGGGGGGGACGACTCCATTAAATTTTTATTTCACACAAATGAAAAGACATTATAAAATGGTCTATAAGAGAAGCACATTGCAAGCTAAGCTGTTGTAGCTGATTTATACTTAGGTTTTTAAAGCCAGACTCCTCTATCAATGAGGAAAGGACCTACCAAACATTTCACCAGGGCACAGTTTCTCACCTTGGAGTCCTCCTGGTTCACTCCCAGTTGTAGCACAGCCTGAGGAGACTGCAGTTTTGCTTGGGTCGAGTGAGCCATTTGCAGGTTGAGCTGCCATCCCACCGTCTCAAGCTACAAAAGACAAGGGAGGAGTGGGTTCAGATGGCACAGAAGAACACAGTCAACTTTAAGCACGTTTCTACTCTGTAGGAATCAACACAAATAGCCTAGACTTAAGGGGAAGTCAATTTCAGGCTCCTTTAACCTGAGATCTCGGTAAACTTTCCCTCTAGACATAGTAGATCAGCCTCGTCATGCCTGTCAAATCAAACAGTAAAGGGGTCTCTAAACAGACTAGTCTAAAAAAAAAATAAGAATGCTATTGAGGTCTTTAATCCATTTGGACTTGAGTTTTGTGCATGGTGATAGATATGGGTCTATTTTCATTCTTCTACAGGTTGACATCCAGTTTTGCCAGCACAATTGGTTGAAGATGCTCTCTTTTTTCCATTGTATACTTTTAGCTCCTTTATCAAAAATCAGGTGTTCATAGGTTTGTGGGTCAGGGTCTTCTATTTGATTCCATTGGTCGACTTCTCTGTTTTTATGCCAATACCAGTCTGTTTTCAATACTATAGCTCTGTAGTAGAGTTTGAAGTCAGGGATGGTAATGCCTCCAGACGATCCTTTATTGTATAAAGGCAGGAGTGAACACAGGATATTTCTCAAGCCCATTATGTGGTGCATAAGTATACGTATAGGCATTATGTAGCCCTTCAACTCCTGATCTTCCTGCCCTGACTCCCAAGTACTGTAATTACTAACATGTGCCACTACATCCAGATGGTTTTTAAACCTACTGTCATTTTAAGATAGCATTTTTTAAATGTGCATTTAAAAACATACAATTTTCAACCAGTAAATAACATATTTTGGTGGAAATCCTTTACTGACTTCCTACTATCTTTAAACACTCTGTGTGGATGGAGCACAAACAAGACTTTCTTTTCCTTGTCCCACCTGCCTTCCTTTTCCCCTTTCTATTTAGAAGGAAACTAAAAGACCCAGACATGAGGTTCACACCATGAGGCACAAACAGTAAACAGAGCCAGGAAAGAAACTGCTGACGTACCTACCAGCTAGCCTGTGGTACCAGAGAGGTCCTTACACTTTCCAACGTCCATTATCTTACTATGGTTCCAATTATGGTGGAAACTAATCACTTCCTTTGAATTTAAAAACAGAGTACGAGTTTATCAGGAAAGACAGAATTAGGAGAGGAAAACTATAGCAGTTTAAGTTCCCTTTGGAACATCACACAGCAGAAACAGCTTTATGAGACAGTGTGGCCACGTGGTTTTAGATTCAGTTCCCTAAAAAATTTCAGGTTCCAAGCTTTGCGAAGTGCAGTGGTGTCAGGCCTCTGACAACACAGCCTTCGAGAGGATTCAGTTAAGCCACCTTTGCTCCAAGGGGCCTGAAAATCAGCCTCACAGTGCTTATGGGACCGGAATACTAATCACTTGACTTGAAAGACCACTGAACAGACACAGCAGTGACGCAAAGCCAAGCTGGAAAGAGAGCAATGAAAGTACCACCAACGTGGGAGAGAGCGAAAAGAGAAAACAGAGACTCACTTTTGCTTCTCCCGGGTCCTTCAGAGGTACAGAGAGTGAACTCCGTTTAAAGGTGTGTATCCAGGACCCTTAACATGCTGATGGCTAACATTAACTGGACGAATCTCTAGCACGGTGTCTAATATGAGCCCTTCTGTTTCCATCAGTCTCCAGAACAGACCTCCAAAAAAACGTCAACACACCATGTCCTCAGGAAAAGCACTTCCAGGTACTCATGTGAACCTGTAAGCATTTTTGACCTGACCCCATCCATGCCAGAGCTTAATGTACAGCTGGGTGCTGCCTACCACTGGTATGAAACAACCAGACAGAGCACTGAGCTTGTATATCCTGCTTTGGTTCACATGTAAGCCATTGCTCCCTCATCCCTGGCTAAGACAGGGTCTTAAGATCTTGATTTCCTCACACAAAACAGAAATCCATCTACCTGAGCCATCTGCTTATCCACCTCCTTAATGGGTAGCAAAACAGAAAATGTGCATTATAGTGTTTGTGACATTTTAAAGCATTATAAATACAAGCCATCTTAGTCACCTAGCTTTTCTGTGTCCCTCATGTAGTCTTCAGTGCAGACAGCCATGACCCATCTCTTTACAAACCACCACAGATTGTCGCCAACTGGATCCCTACCTTTATTTTATCTCAAGATCCCATTTTCCTTCTTCAAAGACTCATTAACTATGCTACGAAACTAAAAAAAAAAAAAAAAAAAAGTTCTAAGTCTGGTACTCAAATTTTATCAAGAAACACACTTTGGCCCTAGAACCAGAGCCAGTGAAAGAGATATGTCCTGGTCCCTGAAACCAGAGCCAATTCTGCCCATGAGCAGGTAAACTAACGAATCCCTGAGCAAAAATCTCCTTGGGAAACAATGACCCTAAGAAGCCCCATTTAAGTCCCCCTGCCAGTTCAGTTGCTGGTTGTCCCTTCCCACTCTGGCCGAGGCAGGCACTCCTGGACTCCTCCTTCCCAAATAAATTTCTTTCTTAAACGAGTTTTGAGTGAGTATCTTCTTTTGCTAGTGCAGAAGAGGGACTGACTTAAGTGAGAGTCATCGGTAGCATTACACAGAAACAGAGAATGAGTTAGGGATGTGATTCAGTAGGAAGAGTAATTGCCTTAGCAGCACAAGGCCCTGGATTCCCCAGCAAGTCCTTAACCCAGTGTGGGAGCACATTCCTGGAATCTCAGTACCCAGGGGTAAAAGCAGGAGGCCCAAAGGTTCAAGACATCTTCAAATACTCAATGAGAGTTTGACACTAGGCTGGGCTAAAGATCCTGTCTCAAAAACAAAAAGTGTATCTGAGTAGTGCACAGCTAGCAACGAAAATGTCAGAGTATCCACTCCCATTGCTTCCATGTTACAGAGGGGAAAAATTCATGGGGGAAAGCTTTCTCCATTTAACCCAAGAGGTCAAACTTAACACGACCCCAAACTAGGAAATGGTTATCAAGAACTTAAAGTTTATGTATTGTGATGGCTACAAGATCACTTTTATAATAGACTAATAATAAATTCACAGCCATAACTAGATCACATAAAACTATAAAAATTTGTAAATTAAAGACTATCCTATAAAATAAATTGTATGTATATATCAAAAACACAAATGTCTAAAAAGAAAACCCAAAAGACAGAACTCCTTATGTTGCTTGGAAGATGTTATTTGCAAGGTCTGAAACAAGCATTGGCGATACAAATATGAGCAAGAGCTGTTTCTCTCTGACTAGGTAAGAGTCTTATGGTACACTAATTAGTCCTCTGAGACCCATAGCGAGAAGCGAACATAGCTGTCATCAATATTTTAATTACGTGGAACATAACAAAATTTAGTGTAGAATTCTGCCTTATATTAGCTAAGTTTTATTACCTCTGCTCAAAACAAAGCTCTGTCCTGTGTACACTCTACAGTTGTTCATTAAAAGACTCAGGAATTTTGCTGTAGTACTTATATTCTAGTTTAAAACTCAGGGCCGATATTAGCTTGCTTCCTGTGCTGTGGTGAAGATACTAAGACCACAAACAACTCGGGGAGGAAAGGGTTTATTTAGCTGCATTACAGTTCCCGGTCCATCATCTGGGGACGTCAGGGCAAGAAGTCGAGGTAGGATACTGGAGGCAGGAACTAAAGCAGAGGCCATGGAGGAGTGTGCCCCTTACTGGTTTGCTCCTCGTGACTTGTTCAGTCTGCTTTCTCATACAACCTAGGAGCACCAGTCCAGGAGTAATTACCATATAAACCATTAATCAAGAAAATGGCTCCAAGATTTGCCTACAGGTCAATCTGATGGAGACAGTTTCTCAATTGAGGTTCCCTCTTCCCATTTGACTCTAGTTTGTATCGAGTCGACAAAAACCTATCCCACACAGGTTCTTTGTATCTTCATGTCATGGGTTTAAATGCCAGCAAAATAATGGTAAACACTTGGAGAATAAACCAATAATATTTTAAATGTGTTTGAAACTCATCCCTCCTACATACATTGATCCTGACTTGGAAATGTTACTAATTAGTTGATACATGACTTTCTTCTCTCTCCTCTGTCAATGTAGAAAGTTCAATGAAATATTAATTTATAATTACTCTACAAAACACAAATCTGAACATGGTTCAAGTTAACAAAACTGGCTCTAATATTAACCCTATAAAGCCAAAAACTAATAACCATGTCTGGAGAGATGGCTCAGTCAGTGAAGCACCTGCCATGTAAGCATGGCAGTTAGATCCCCGACACCCGGGTAAAACATAGGCCATGAGCAGAGACAGGCAGAGCCCTGGAGCTCACTGGCCAGTAGGCCAGTCAACCAGTGAGCTATGGGCTCAGTGAAAGACCTTATCCCAAAACAGAAGATAAGGAGCAATAAGGGAAGACACCTGATCACCAAGTATCAGATTCTGGCCTCTACAGTTCTCTCTCCCTCCCTCCCCACTCCTTCCCTCTGTCTTTCTTCTCTCTCTCTCTCTTCTTTCTCTGGTAAACAAATAAGTTACCAGATACATTTTATAACAGTATTAATTTTTTTGGATGAGAGAAAAGCATACCACATAGCTAGCATGCAAAATAAGGCTGCACGGGCTATATTAATATCAGACAATGCACACTTCAAGCCAAAGGATGTACTTCAAGGTCATTTACTAAAAAGAAAACCCGTAGTAATAGGGAGCAATCACACAGGAGAGCACAACCTTCATGCTGGCTCAAAGGCTGTCTGGGTCTCCTGATCCTTTTCTCAATGAGGGAAAGATGAAGATAAAAGGCAGGAATTACGATTTTGCTGGGCCCAGATTTTAAAGAAATACTCATTATTTTCTTCAATACTAGTAATAGAACAAAAGAGAAAATGCTTGAAAAAGGAAAAGGTACATAGTTTGGACATTCCTGATTCAGAAATCCAAACACCAAAAATGGTTCAAAATTTTTCAATCATAACGTGCCACACAAGTGCTTGGAATTTGGGGCCTTTCAAATGACACATTCCACACTGTGCATGCT